CCCCGAGATAACAGTCGCGTCAGCCAATCTGCGGCGAACAGCCTGGACGAACGTGCCGCCTGCACCTCCCCGAGCTATACTCCTCCTCGCTCCCCGCCGTTCGCTTCCGCGATTCCCCGGCGTCGACGCGGCGCTAGCCATTGGCGCTCGTCGAGAACGCCCTTGTGGGGTCCACCAGCGAACGCCTCCCCGTGATGGCGTAGTCTCGGTCGTATGGGCAGGGGCAATCCCCGGAACGGCTGTACGGTCGGCGGGCGGGTGGTCGTTGGGCCCGCGCGTCCCCTGAGCCGCGCTACCGCTCGCGGACGCCCGAGTGGCGGAGCCCACCCCGCCGTCTGCCAGTGCGTGATTTGCGCCGGCGTGGGTCTCGGAGGCCATCGCGTCCCCCGCAGCATGGCCCGCAGGTGCAGCGAGGGGGCTCAGCCGCCCGCTCCCCGAGCGTCAACGAAGTTGTCGCTCGGGTGCTTGCACGCTTGCCTGCGGTAATCTAGGCATTGGCAGCACCGGCTGCCCCAGCACCAGTGCCGGCGGCTCCCGCAGCTCCCCCTCCAGCGGCTCCCGTGACTCTCCTGCCAGGAGTAGTGGCGGCGCCGGCGCAGCTTCCCCCTGCCTGGCCGCCGCAGGGGCCCCCAGTTCCTGGGATCTTGTATCGAGTGGAACCCCCTGGGTTCCAGGGCTGGGGGGGACTCCGCCAGTGATGCAGACTCCGGTTCCGCCAGCGGCAATTCCTCCGCCCCCACCGCCGCCGCCTCCTCCCAGCGCTCAGCCGCTTGCGGCGCCAGCACCGTTCCCAGCAGGGCAGGCTCCGCCTCCTCAGGAAGTGGGCCAGGAAGGGGCGGGGACCGGCGAGCAGGGGGAGAACGGTGGGTGGGAGGACCACTCTGGACTGACGGCAGGAAGTCACGGGCGCACGCGTCAGCGGACGGGGGAGTTTCCCCCAGGCCACGCGAGGAGCGGGCAACCAGTGCCCGAGGCGGCGATCCGGGCAGCGGCGGAGGACACGCTTCGGCGTCTGGACTCAGCCAGGGACTGCCTCGCGCGCTTGACGACGGTGGTGGGGGTGTCGGGGGTATGCCCTCGGCTGCGCTGAACAGGAGGGGTTGCTGTCGGAGAGGCAGGCGGTTGCGTACGCGACACAGGCAGCAGCGGCGAGGGCGGCGCTGACCGCCGCGTGGCCCGGGCTCGCTCAGGGAATACCGCTGCCGGGTGGGGCCCGCCGTCGTCCTGGCGGATCTGGAGGACAAGCTGGAAGGGGCGCAAGCTGTAGAAGTAATCGACGGCGCCGTGTCAGTATTCCGGGAGTTGGAGCGCGCCGTGTATTGTCTGCTGGAGGATCTCCGCGCAGCGAGGTAGCGGGAGATCGCCGACCGGCGTAATGCTGGTCCGCGGGGCGTTAGTCGCCCTGCCAGTGCTTCAAGCGTGGGTACCTGCATAATTAAGGGACGCCAGGGACCCCCCATGCCTGGAAACCGCCTAGAAGGCCCGCTTGTATGTTGTTGTTGTAGAGATGACAGGTCCGTAGCTTCTTGCCGTCCCCTAACGCGCGGCCGCAGGCTGCGCCGCGAGCGACGGCGGCCTACGGCCGCCGGTGCGAGCCGCTACCAGCAAGTAGATGAGAAATGAACTGAGAACTAACCAAGGAGTCAGGAGACAGGAGGAGCTTATATAGGCTCAGGAGCAAGGCTCAGGGGCTCTTTCCTCTCCCCCTCCCTCCCTCCCTTTCTTCGTCCCCCCCATGCACTTCCCCTGACCTACCACTCCCCATCTGGCCTTACCCGCCCTCTCCCGCCCTGTGCCTTCAACTCACAGCGCCTCCAGGTTGGTGGACATTGCCCAGGGAGTCCGGTATTTGCCCTGTAAACCCATTGTACTGCAGCACGCTGGCACAGGGCCAAGGCAGCATGGGGGGAGTGGGGGGAAGGAGGGGGGAGGGCAGCAAGCAGAGGGGTGGGTGGGGGATTTGTGGGAGGAGCCGTGAGATGAGGACGAGAGGGTTGCGTTGGGAACAGGGGCAGCAGGGGTGGTGGATGTGACAGCGAAGCATACATATCAACGGATGCAAGAGCAAAGGGCAAGAGCGGGACACGTACAGGTGCTTGAGGCCAGGGCTATTGCTGATAAAGGCAGGGATGGAGCCAGACAGCGCATTGGGCGTCCAAGTATCTGCGGTCAGGGCAGGTTCGCAAGCAGAGGCGAGTGCAGAGAATAGAATGTGGTGCACGTGACTGCACGGACTGGCTGGAGCAGCCAGGCAGCATTAGGCAGGAGCGCAAAGGAATGAGAAGGGCAGTGCATGAGCGGGGCAGGAGGGACTGCAGTGCAGCAGTAGCGGCTGGGATCGCCATCACACTGGCATGAGACTTCAGTCGCATGTTGTTGGCAAAGCATGCAGCGGCATGCTTTGCTGCGGACTGCAATTGTAACAGGGGCGCTAGTACTGCAGTGACTATTGAGTTGATTTTACAGTCATCTGCCGGCCGCAGTGACAGGGTGCCACTCACAGGTACTCCAGCGACGTCAGTTTGCTGAGGGAATTCGGAATGGAGCCGAGAAACCGTTGGTGCTCAGAATGCTGCAAGGAGGGTTGGGGAGACCCGGGAATGATGTTGAGGAAGGCTTATCTTAGCATGTAGCGTCTGCACTGCTCACTAGCCTCGCTCCCTCGCTTTCTCCCCTCTCCGGGGTGCACTGCAGCAAGACGAGGCATATCATATATACCCGCGTAGGGTGGTGCAATGCACGAGAGGGGGCTCACAGGTTGACGAGCGCAGAGAGGCTGCCCAGGGAGGAGGGCAGGGTGCCGCTGAGCTGGTTGGCATCCAGAAGCCTGCAGGGAGCGATGGAGCAGTGGTTTTAGGGCCAGGCAGGCGGATGCCAGGTGAATGGCAGGGATGGAAGGGATGGGCGAAAGAGCAGGTTGGGTCGGGAGGGAAGGAAGTTGCTGTGGCAAGAAATGCTGGCTAATAAATGATGAGCTCGACTCAAAGGCAGGCCGGATGGACGACGGATGGTGGTGGTGGAAGAAGGGAGGGTGGCGAGAGGAGGCTTGGAAGAATCTGAGCACGGCGTTCAGACGGATGGGAATGAGGTGGAGCAGGGAAGAAGGGGGACTGACAGGGATTGAAGGCCTGTTGCACTTCCTACTGTATCGGGTATGTTGCCCGTGAGCTGATTGCCTGAGAGAACCCTGCACGGGGACCATGCACACACGGCGATACAGCACACAGGCACATGCAGGCGGACACGTCCAAATCCATTATTTCAACCCACGGTCATGGTGCAGGCGCAGAGTTGAGGTGAACGTGTGGGGCCAGAAGCTCCAACGTGCAATGCACATGTCTAGAAGGGCGGGAGGGAGGGAGAAAGGACAAATCCGCATGGGCATGGTGCAGTACATGGAGCAGCACATGGTGCAGTACATGGAGCAGCACATGGTGCAGCACATGGTGCAGTACATGGAGCAGCACATGGTGCAGCACATGGAGCAGCTAGTTCACACCCGTTGTGCTGACTGCAGTGGCAGCAACCAGAAGCAATGCGGGGGCGAGTGAGTCTCACACGTGTACGAGATTGGGCAGAGTGAAGAGAGCAGGGGGGAGGGAGCCAGTGAGCTCACTGGACTTGATGTAACTGCGGGAAGGCACAGGTGGATATGAATGGGGAGGACGGAGGGGAGGGAGACAGATGGAGTTAAAGGCAGCAGGGGGAGGTGACGCAAAGCGAATAAGATAATATCAAGGATTTGGAGTCCACTGCTGTCGGCTCCGTGGAACACGAGCCAGACCACGATGTCATGCCATTTGCTACAGCAGAACCCATGTGCCTCCCCACCCATATCATGTCAGTCCCACATGCCATGTCAGTTCCCCATATCATCATGTCAGTTCCCTATGTCATGTCACTCCCACCCATGTCACTCCCACGCATGTCATGTCACTCACCATGCCTTGCTCTGCTCCCACTCACAGCCATGACAGTTCTTCCAGGGCGGTGATGCTCTCAGGAATAGACGCTGATATGTTGCCGTTTCTCACTTCGCTGGAATGCAAGGCGAGGGGAGGGGTGGGGGGAGGAGGGAGGGGGGAAGGGGGTGAGTGGGGGGAAGAGACAGTTGAATGGGAGCGAGGGAAAAAAACGCACAGTGCAGAGCGGCGGCGTGTATCTAATGTTGACCAACCGGGTTATACGTCCCGTTTCCTCAAGACATGCAGTGACAGCCCCAGCATGCATGTCGGGCCGCGGGCCATCATGACACCTACAGTGCAACGACATGCCCGTCGTCGTCGCAGTACACAGCAGCCATGCTGTCGCAGTCCGTGCCTCTGCTCCATGTGGCCGAGCCGTCCAAGCTGCTCCATGCGGATGCCAGATCCTCCAACGCGTCCACTACCATGCACCACATGCCATGCCACACCGTAGCACATGCACGAAATGGGTTTCTTCATTTAAAGGTCCGCTTTTAGCAGGTCCGCTTCTAGCAGGTCCGCTCCTATCAGGTCCGCTCCTAGCAGCTCCGCTTCTAGAATCTCATGAGTCTGACACCGGCTTACTGTCAGGGTCCAACACGGGTGCGGCCTGTGCGAGAGGCATGCAGCAGCGCGCCACCATCAAGGCTACCACCGCCGCCCTCGCAACCTCTCCACGCGCCATCGTCGGTAACCACCTCATCACTCGTAGCGTGCTGATTCCCGCGGCGCGAGGTCGCTAAAGTAGGCGAATGTGATAGGCTTCGGAAAATGATCGTATATTTCAAATAAATCGCGATGTAATGATCCGGCGCTACTGCGTTCCGCGTTACGTCAAGCACGACAACTCGCAAGTCTGGCAATGCGTATGATATCTCCGGCTATAGCGAATGCAGGAAGACAACGAAACCTCAGGTTTCATGTGTTCTCTCGTAGTGTACTGGCTCAAGCACTGTCATCTTGGTATTGCTACTCAACTTGTTGAGACTGGGCATCACCGCAATGCATCAGTCGGACGTATTGCACGACACAAGGTTCTCAGTGCTTCTTTCATTTGTGGGTGGGTTGTGTTACAGATTTTTACGATCCATTACCGCAGTGTACCGCTTTGTCCGCCGTCAAAGCTGTAGGCGGTTTGTGTCAGGGCGGTAGTTGCAGCAACCAGCTTGGGGCGTTCACCCAGCCTTTCTGTAATTGGCTGCGAAGCAGGGGTGCGGGCCGCATCAACATTCACCAGCATGCGACACATCTGCACCAGCAGCAGCAGCCCAATTTCCCTCGCTAGAATCGCAGCATACCTGATGGGCAGGTAGCGCATTGTTGGCACTCCAGCAAGGCGGAAAAGTTTCTTGCCTGGCTGGCAGTTCTTGGCTTGGCAAAGCAGCAGAAGACTGGATTTGACCTGCACTGTACCTGCTATGAGTGGACCGCAACCAATATTTCAGTACACCTTTTCTAGTACCTTGTTTCATCACATAGAGTAGTACACCTCTCCAATACAAGGGCAATTTGGATTATCATTTTGATCAATTAGGTCATAGTTTAAGACACCAAAACCAATATCAGAAATAAAAGCACAACACTGTTTGACATTAGATTCTACCTTTTATTTTTCAAGTGTATGATAAATATGTCTTAAAAGACAAAACCAGCGTCTAAAGTCGATGGAACTCGTAGAAGTATTGAAGTATGCGGTGTCAAAGTAAGAACTGAATAATAATAGAACTAGAAGTGGAAACCTAGAACAAGTACTAGTTGGTTGTACTCACTAGAAGCATACCCCAGTCTAGCCTATAACTTGTACGCAGCTAACATGTATAAATTGACACACCCCCTAGGCTAGACAAGAGGTGAAGCTAAGCAAGAAGCAAACAGCTCAGGGTGGCACTACTAGTCCAACCACTGAGGCAGGGGTCTGGAGACCAGTCAGCAAGGGTACAAATAAGACTAAAGCAAGCCAGAGCGACACTACTAGTCCAGCCACTTGAGGTAAGGCCACAAGGCCAGTCTGACAGGCATATATAATAGAGAGTACACAATCAGGATCCTAACAGGTGTGTAGCTACAGGAACAAGACCAAGCTGTACACAGTGCCGCTGATGATCTTTAGGCGCAAGCGCCTTAGTAAAGATATCAGCAGTGTTGGCACCTGAGGCCAAGTGAACTACACGGGCCTGGCGGCGCTGCTGTAGCTCGCGCAGGAGGAAGTACCGCAGCTGGATATGCTTTGCTCTGCCCTCAAGCCGAGGCTCCTGACACAGGAGTATCATGGCCCTGTTGTCAGCGTACAGGACCGGGGCAGAGCTAGGCCGCTCACCTAAGTCTGTGAGCAAGAAGGTCAGCCAGCGGAGCTCCTGTACCGCCATGGCACCAGCGTAGATCTTAGCCTCACAGCTGGACTGAGCCACAGACGACGAGGGAGTGGATCTCCAAGAGATAGCACCCGAACCAAGGCTAAAGCAGTAGCCCTGCGACGACCTGAGCGTCTCAGAGTCGTCTGTCCAAGAAGCGTCTGTGTGCCCAGTAAGGACCACTGGCCTGCGTCCTCCTAGCACTAACCCCATGCCCGATGTACTAGCAAGATAACGCAAAACCCTCTTAGCGGCAGACCAGTCCTGAGGTCGGTGTCTGCCTGTAGCCACAAAGCGAGCCAGGATGCTGAGAGGGTATGCGAGATATGGGCGAGTGCAAGTCATCAGGTACATGAGGCAACCCACGAGCTCTGCGTAGGGGCCACTGGGCTCTACTGGCTCCTGAGGAACGGGAGCGGAGAGCCCATGGTGTACAGGTAGAGGTGTGGGCTGTGCGGAGGAGAACTGAAGACCAAACCTCTGAAGGACCTGACGCACCAAGTGTAACTGTGTCAGAGTGATGGTGCGTGCTGCTCCGTCCCTAGAGATCTGCAGGCCAAGATAGCGACGCAGCTCTCCAAGGTCAGTGCAGGTGTGTCTTTTCAGCAGCTCAGCCTTCACAGAGGCCAGTGCGTCCCTGTCAGCAGTAGCAAAGACCAAGTCGTCTACGTAGACAAGGATGTAGAACGGAGTCTGGCCGGAACGCACAAACAGCAAGGGGTCAGCAGAGGACGGAAAGAACTGCAGGTCTGCTAGCGTGGCACGCAGCGTGTCGTGCCACTCGCGAGGAGCCTGACGCAGGCCGTAGACCGGGCGCCGGAGAAGCCACTGGGTCCTAGGGGGGAAGGTACCAGTGAAGCCCTGAGGTCGACGCAGGTAGACCTGCTCGTGTAGGCTGCCCTGAAGAGAGGCAGTAGAGAAGTCGAGGGAGTGAAGCTCGTAGTCGCGCTATGCTGCTACGTGTAGCAGCGCCCGAAGAGTGGTCATCTTCGGGGTCGGGGCGAAGGTCTGGAAGAAGTCAACCCCCTCGCGCTGGCTGAAGCCTCTGGCCACGTAGCGCGCCTTGAAGACAGGCGGCTCTCCAGGGAGGCACTTCACCTTGAAGAGCCACCGACCATCGACTACGTTCACCCCAGGCGGGGGAACTGCGTCGACGTAAGTGCCGGTGGACCTCCAAGATGCCATCTCCTGCTCCATGGCAGCTATCCACTGAGAGGCCCAGGGTCCCGAGGTGGCCTCAGCGTAGGTGCGAGGGGTCAGGATGTCGAAGGCGTCTGGGTCACCCTCAGGGACTAACAGCATGGAGCAGAGATGGGGAGCAGCCTCCGAAAGGAAAGCAAGCTCGTAGTGCCTGTCCTCTAAGACGTCACTACCAAGGGCAGGAGCACCCCCGACGGACGGAGGATGGGCAGGGTCAGAGACTAGAGCGGTAGTGTAGTCAAGGCGGCAGGTAGAGGCAAATTCAGCGAATGCAGCGACAAGCGCGTCAAGGCGCGAGACAGGAACAGCAGGGTCGGTAACAAGAGAGGCAAGGACCCGAGGGACAAGGGGATAAGCGGGGTGGATTCTAGCGCCTAAAGGGCTTTGCCAAGGTTCCCGCGCTTAGCTAAGCCCGAGGCACGGGGATGAAATCCCAGTCCTGTCAGGCATGTGGCGCTGGGGAGGAGGGAGAGTGATGGCGGCAACAGCTTCAACATAAAGATCTACCCAGGAACCCTGGCGAAATGAGTCCAAACTGCGCTCGACGGAGGGCCAATCAGGCTTGCGGGCTGTGCCAACGCGGAGGGTAAGGCGAGCAAGGAATATCAGAAGTCGCCAAGCTGGCACCGAGTCAGGGTCCTTGGCCAATCGGAGGAGCGGGGTCAGCAGACAGCTGGCGAATTGGTCCCGAATGTGGCGGGGTGGGTGGCGGGCAAGCGGGGGTTGGCGACTGTCGCAAAGGGAAGCGATATTCCAGTTGGCGACTTGGGCGAAAAGGTCATCCCGGACCGCCAGCACCTCGGGCGAGAGGAATTGGGGATTCAGGTTCGGAAAATCCTCGAATTCCGCATTTCTCTGGTTCGGGGCGGCTCGGGCCGCACTCCGCCTCAGGCCCCCTCCTTCCGCAGCACTGTCCTCCCCAGTCACAGACTCGGAGTCCCCCTCGGAAGAAGGGGTATATCTGGAGTCACCCGATCCTTCCTCGCCATTCCCAGCAGCAGCGCCCTCTCCTCCAGCTGCCGACTCCCTTAGTCTAATCTCCGCCCTGCCAGGGCTCTCCGGCCTGGCCTCTGCCCCCGAGATAACAGTCGCGTCAGCCAATCTGCGGCGAACAGCCTGGACGAACGTGCCGCCTGCACCTCCCCGAGCTATACTCCTCCTCGCTCCCCGCCGTTCGCTTCCGCGATTCCCCGGCGTCGACGCGGCGCTAGCCATTGGCGCTCGTCGAGAACGCCCTTGTGGGGTCCACCAGCGAACGCCTCCCCGTGATGGCGTAGTCTCGGTCGTATGGGCAGGGGCAATCCCCGGAACGGCTGTACGGTCGGCGGGCGGGTGGTCGTTGGCCCGCGCGGTCCCCTGAGCCGCGCTACCGCTCGCGGACGCCCGAGTGGCGGAGCCCACCCCGCCGTCTGCCAGTGCGTGATTTGCGCCGGCGTGGGTCTCGGAGGCCATCGCGTCCCCCGCAGCATGGCCCGCAGGTGCAGCGAGGGGGCTCAGCCGCCCGCTCCCCGAGCGTCAACGAAGTTGTCGCTCGGGTGCTTGCACGCTTGCCTGCGGTAATCTAGGCATTGGCAGCACCGGCTGCCCCAGCACCAGTGCCGGCGGCTCCCGCAGCTCCCCCTCCAGCGGCTCCCGTGACTCTCCTGCCAGGAGTAGTGGCGGCGCCGGCGCAGCTTCCCCCTGCCTGGCCGCCGCAGGGGCCCCCAGTTCCTGGGATCTTGTATCGAGTGGAACCCCCCTGGGTTCCAGGGCTGGGGGGGACTCCGCCAGTGATGCAGACTCCGGTTCCGCCAGCGGCAATTCCTCCGCCCCCACCGCCGCCGCCTCCTCCCAGCGCTCAGCCGCTTGCGGCGCCAGCACCGTTCCCAGCAGGGCAGGCTCCGCCTCCTCAGGAAGTGGGCCAGGAAGGGGCGGGGACCGGCGAGCAGGGGGAGAACGGTGGGTGGGAGGACCACTCTGGACTGACGGCAGGAAGTCACGGGCGCACGCGTCAGCGGACGGGGGAGTTTCCCCCAGGCCACGCGAGGAGCGGGCAACCAGTGCCCGAGGCGGCGATCCGGGCAGCGGCGGAGGACACGCTTCGGCGTCTGGACTCAGCCAGGGACTGCCTCGCGCGCTTGACGACGGTGGTGGGGGTGTCGGGGTATGCCCTCGGCTGCGCTGAACAGGAGGGGTTGCTGTCGGAGAGGCAGGCGGTTGCGTACGCGACACAGGCAGCAGCGGCGAGGGCGGCGCTGACCGCCGCGTGGCCCGGGCTCGCTCAGGGAATACCGCTGCCGGTGGGGCCCGCCGTCGTCCTGGCGGATCTGGAGGACAAGCTGGAAGGGGCGCAAGCTGTAGAAGTAATCGACGGCGCCGTGTCAGTATTCCGGGAGTTGGAGCGCGCCGTGTATTGTCTGCTGGAGGATCTCCGCGCAGCGAGGTAGCGGGAGATCGCCGACCGGCGTAATGCTGGTCCGCGGGCGTTAGTCGCCCTGCCAGTGCTTCAAGCGTGGGTACCTGCATAATTAAGGGACGCCAGGGACCCCCATGCCTGGAAACCGCCTAGAAGGCCCGCTTGTATGTTGTTGTTGTAGAGATGACAGGTCCGTAGCTTCTTGCCGTCCCCTAACGCGCGGCCGCAGGCTGCGCCGCGAGCGACGGCGGCCTACGGCCGCCGGTGCGAGCCGCTACCAGCAAGTAGATGAGAAATGAACTGAGAACTAACCAAGGAGTCAGGAGACAGGAGGAGCTTATATAGGCTCAGGAGCAAGGCTCAGGGGCTCTTTCCTCTCCCCCTCCCTCCCTCCCTTTCTTCGTCCCCCCATGCACTTCCCCTGACCTACCACTCCCCATCTGGCCTTACCCGCCCTCTCCCGCCCTGTGCCTTCAACTCACAGCGCCTCCAGGTTGGTGACATTGCCCAGGGAGTCCGGTATTTGCCCTGTAAACCCATTGTACTGCAGCACGCTGGCACAGGGCCAAGGCAGCATGGGGGGAGTGGGGGGAAGGAGGGGGGGAGGGCAGCAAGCAGAGGGGTGGGTGGGGGATTTGTGGGAGGAGCCGTGAGATGAGGACGAGAGGGTTGCGTTGGGAACAGGGGCAGCAGGGGTGGTGGATGTGACAGCGAAGCATACATATCAACGGATGCAAGAGCAAAGGGCAAGAGCGGGACACGTACAGGTGCTTGAGGCCAGGGCTATTGCTGATAAAGGCAGGGATGGAGCCAGACAGCGCATTGGCGTCCAAGTATCTGCGGTCAGGGCAGGTTCGCAAGCAGAGGCGAGTGCAGAGAATAGAATGTGGTGCACGTGACTGCACGGACTGGCTGGAGCAGCCAGGCAGCATTAGGCAGGAGCGCAAAGGAATGAGAAGGGCAGTGCATGAGCGGGGCAGGAGGGACTGCAGTGCAGCAGTAGCGGCTGGGATCGCCATCACACTGGCATGAGACTTCAGTCGCATGTTGTTGGCAAAGCATGCAGCGGCATGCTTTGCTGCGGACTGCAATTGTAACAGGGGCGCTAGTACTGCAGTGACTATTGAGTTGATTTTACAGTCATCTGCCGGCCGCAGTGACAGGGTGCCACTCACAGGTACTCCAGCGACGTCAGTTTGCTGAGGGAATTCGGAATGGAGCCCGAGAAACCGTTGGTGCTCAGAATGCTGCAAGGAGGGTTGGGGAGACCCGGGAATGATGTTGAGGAAGGCTTATCTTAGCATGTAGCGTCTGCACTGCTCACTAGCCTCGCTCCCTCGCTTTCTCCCCTCTCCGGGGTGCACTGCAGCAAGACGAGGCATATCATATATACCCGCGTAGGGTGGTGCAATGCACGAGAGGGGGCTCACAGGTTGACGAGCGCAGAGAGGCTGCCCAGGGAGGAGGGCAGGGTGCCGCTGAGCTGGTTGGCATCCAGAAGCCTGCAGGGAGCGATGGAGCAGTGGTTTTAGGGCCAGGCAGGCGGATGCCAGGTGAATGGCAGGGATGGAAGGGATGGGCGAAAGAGCAGGTTGGGTCGGGAGGGAAGGAAGTTGCTGTGGCAAGAAATGCTGGCTAATAAATGATGAGCTCGACTCAAAGGCAGGCCGGATGGACGACGGATGGTGGTGGTGGAAGAAGGGAGGGTGGCGAGAGGAGGCTTGGAAGAATCTGAGCACGGCGTTCAGACGGATGGGAATGAGGTGGAGCAGGGAAGAAGGGGGACTGACAGGGATTGAAGGCCTGTTGCACTTCCTACTGTATCGGGTATGTTGCCCGTGAGCTGATTGCCTGAGAGAACCCTGCACGGGGACCATGCACACACGGCGATACAGCACACAGGCACATGCAGGCGGACACGTCCAAATCCATTATTTCAACCCACGGTCATGGTGCAGGCGCAGAGTTGAGGTGAACGTGTGGGGCCAGAAGCTCCAACGTGCAATGCACATGTCTAGAAGGGCGGGAGGGAGGGAGAAAGGACAAATCCGCATGGGCATGGTGCAGTACATGGAGCAGCACATGGTGCAGTACATGGAGCAGCACATGGTGCAGCACATGGTGCAGTACATGGAGCAGCACATGGTGCAGCACATGGAGCAGCTAGTTCACACCCGTTGTGCTGACTGCAGTGGCAGCAACCAGAAGCAATGCGGGGGCGAGTGAGTCTCACACGTGTACGAGATTGGGCAGAGTGAAGAGAGCAGGGGGGAGGGAGCCAGTGAGCTCACTGGACTTGATGTAACTGCGGGAAGGCACAGGTGGATATGAATGGGGAGGACGGAGGGGAGGGAGACAGATGGAGTTAAAGGCAGCAGGGGGAGGTGACGCAAAGCGAATAAGATAATATCAAGGATTTGGAGTCCACTGCTGTCGGCTCCGTGGAACACGAGCCAGACCACGATGTCATGCCATTTGCTACAGCAGAACCCATGTGCCTCCCCACCCATATCATGTCAGTCCCACATGCCATGTCAGTTCCCCATATCATCATGTCAGTTCCCTATGTCATGTCACTCCCACCCATGTCACTCCCACGCATGTCATGTCACTCACCATGCCTTGCTCTGCTCCCACTCACAGCCATGACAGTTCTTCCAGGGCGGTGATGCTCTCAGGAATAGACGCTGATATGTTGCCGTTTCTCACTTCGCTGGAATGCAAGGCGAGGGAGGGGTGGGGGGAGGAGGGAGGGGGGAAGGGGGTGAGTGGGGGGAAGAGACAGTTGAATGGGAGCGAGGGAAAAAAACGCACAGTGCAGAGCGGCGGCGTGTATCTAATGTTGACCAACCGGGTTATACGTCCCGTTTCCTCAAGACATGCAGTGACAGCCCCAGCATGCATGTCGGGCCGCGGGCCATCATGACACCTACAGTGCAACGACATGCCCGTCGTCGTCGCAGTACACAGCAGCCATGCTGTCGCAGTCCGTGCCTCTGCTCCATGTGGCCGAGCCGTCCAAGCTGCTCCATGCGGATGCCAGATCCTCCAACGCGTCCACTACCATGCACCACATGCCATGCCACACCGTAGCACATGCACGAAATGGGTTTCTTCATTTAAAGGTCCGCTTTTAGCAGGTCCGCTTCTAGCAGGTCCGCTCCTATCAGGTCCGCTCCTAGCAGCTCCGCTTCTAGAATCTCATGAGTCTGACACCGGCTTACTGTCAGGGTCCAACACGGGTGCGGCCTGTGCGAGAGGCATGCAGCAGCGCGCCACCATCAAGGCTACCACCGCCGCCCTCGCAACCTCTCCACGCGCCATCGTCGGTAACCACCTCATCACTCGTAGCGTGCTGATTCCCGCGGCGCGAGGTCGCTAAAGTAGGCGAATGTGATAGGCTTCGGAAAATGATCGTATATTTCAAATAAATCGCGATGTAATGATCCGGCGCTACTGCGTTCCGCGTTACGTCAAGCACGACAACTCGCAAGTCTGGCAATGCGTATGATATCTCCGGCTATAGCGAATGCAGGAAGACAACGAAACCTCAGGTTTCATGTGTTCTCTCGTAGTGTACTGGCTCAAGCACTGTCATCTTGGTATTGCTACTCAACTTGTTGAGACTGGCATCACCGCAATGCATCAGTCGGACGTATTGCACGACACAAGGTTCTCAGTGCTTCTTTCATTTGTGGGTGGGTTGTGTTACAGATTTTTACGATCCATTACCGCAGTGTACCGCTTTGTCCGCCGTCAAAGCTGTAGGCGGTTTGTGTCAGGGCGGTAGTTGCAGCAACCAGCTTGGGGCGTTCACCCAGCCTTTCTGTAATTGGCTGCGAAGCAGGGGTGCGGGCCGCATCAACATTCACCAGCATGCGACACATCTGCACCAGCAGCAGCAGCCCAATTTCCCTCGCTAGAATCGCAGCATACCTGATGGGCAGGTAGCGCATTGTTGGCACTCCAGCAAGGCGGAAAAGTTTCTTGCCTGGCTGGCAGTTCTTGGCTTGGCAAAGCAGCAGAAGACTGGATTTGACCTGCACTGTACCTGCTATGAGTGGACCGCAACCAATATTTCAGTACACCTTTTCTAGTACCTTGTTTCATCACATAGAGTAGTACACCTCTCCAATACAAGGGCAATTTGGATTATCATTTTGATCAATTAGGTCATAGTTTAAGACACCAAAACCAATATCAGAAATAAAAGCACAACACTGTTTGACATTAGATTCTACCTTTTATTTTTCAAGTGTATGATAAATATGTCTTAAAAGACAAAACCAGCGTCTAAAGTCGATGGAACTCGTAGAAGTATTGAAGTATGCGGTGTCAAAGTAAGAACTGAATAATAATAGAACTAGAAGTGGAAACCTAGAACAAGTACTAGTTGGTTGTACTCACTAGAAGCATACCCCAGTCTAGCCTATAACTTGTACGCAGCTAACATGTATAAATTGACACACCCCCTAGGCTAGACAAGAGGTGAAGCTAAGCAAGAAGCAAACAGCTCAGGGTGGCACTACTAGTCCAACCACTGAGGCAGGGGTCTGGAGACCAGTCAGCAAGGGTACAAATAAGACTAAAGCAAGCCAGAGCGACACTACTAGTCCAGCCACTTGAGGTAAGGCCACAAGGCCAGTCTGACAGGCATATATAATAGAGAGTACACAATCAGGATCCTAACAGGTGTGTAGCTACAGGAACAAGACCAAGCTGTACACAGTGCCGCTGATGATCTTTAGGCGCAAGCGCCTTAGTAAAGATATCAGCAGTGTTGGCACCTGAGGCCAAGTGAACTACACGGGCCTGGCGGCGCTGCTGTAGCTCGCGCAGGAGGAAGTACCGCAGCTGGATATGCTTTGCTCTGCCCTCAAGCCGAGGCTCCTGACACAGGAGTATCATGGCCCTGTTGTCAGCGTACAGGACCGGGGCAGAGCTAGGCCGCTCACCTAAGTCTGTGAGCAAGAAGGTCAGCCAGCGGAGCTCCTGTACCGCCATGGCACCAGCGTAGATCTTAGCCTCACAGCTGGACTGAGCCACAGACGACGAGGGAGTGGATCTCCAAGAGATAGCACCCGAACCAAGGCTAAAGCAGTAGCCCTGCGACGACCTGAGCGTCTCAGAGTCGTCTGTCCAAGAAGCGTCTGTGTGCCCAGTAAGGACCACTGGCCTGCGTCCTCCTAGCACTAACCCCATGCCCGATGTACTAGCAAGATAACGCAAAACCCTCTTAGCGGCAGACCAGTCCTGAGGTCGGTGTCTGCCTGTAGCCACAAAGCGAGCCAGGATGCTGAGAGGGTATGCGAGATATGGGCGAGTGCAAGTCATCAGGTACATGAGGCAACCCACGAGCTCTGCGTAGGGGCCACTGGGCTCTACTGGCTCCTGAGGAACGGGAGCGGAGAGCCCATGGTGTACAGGTAGAGGTGTGGGCTGTGCGGAGGAGAACTGAAGACCAAACCTCTGAAGGACCTGACGCACCAAGTGTAACTGTGTCAGAGTGATGGTGCGTGCTGCTCCGTCCCTAGAGATCTGCAGGCCAAGATAGCGACGCAGCTCTCCAAGGTCAGTGCAGGTGTGTCTTTTCAGCAGCTCAGCCTTCACAGAGGCCAGTGCGTCCCTGTCAGCAGTAGCAAAGACCAAGTCGTCTACGTAGACAAGGATGTAGAACGGAGTCTGGCCGGAACGCACAAACAGCAAGGGGTCAGCAGAGGACGGAAAGAACTGCAGGTCTGCTAGCGTGGCACGCAGCGTGTCGTGCCACTCGCGAGGAGCCTGACGCAGGCCGTAGACCGGGCGCCGGAGAAGCCACTGGGTCCTAGGGGGGAAGGTACCAGTGAAGCCCTGAGGTCGACGCAGGTAGACCTGCTCGTGTAGGCTGCCCTGAAGAGAGGCAGTAGAGAAGTCGAGGGAGTGAAGCTCGTAGTCGCGCTATGCTGCTACGTGTAGCAGCGCCCGAAGAGTGGTCATCTTCGGGGTCGGGGCGAAGGTCTGGAAGAAGTCAACCCCCTCGCGCTGGCTGAAGCCTCTGGCCACGTAGCGCGCCTTGAAGACAGGCGGCTCTCCAGGGAGGCACTTCACCTTGAAGAGCCACCGACCATCGACTACGTTCACCCCAGGCGGGGGAACTGCGTCGACGTAAGTGCCGGTGGACCTCCAAGATGCCATCTCCTGCTCCATGGCAGCTATCCACTGAGAGGCCCAGGGTCCCGAGGTGGCCTCAGCGTAGGTGCGAGGGGTCAGGATGTCGAAGGCGTCTGGGTCACCCTCAGGGACTAACAGCATGGAGCAGAGATGGGGAGCAGCCTCCGAAAGGAAAGCAAGCTCGTAGTGCCTGTCCTCTAAGACGTCACTACCAAGGGCAGGAGCACCCCCGACGGACGGAGGATGGGCAGGGTCAGAGACTAGAGCGGTAGTGTAGTCAAGGCGGCAGGTAGAGGCAAATTCAGCGAATGCAGCGACAAGCGCGTCAAGGCGCGAGACAGGAACAGCAGGGTCGGTAACAAGAGAGGCAAGGACCCGAGGGACAAGGGGATAAGCGGCACGGAGGTAGTCGGAGAACGGAGAAGGGGCAACAGCAAGGGACGAGGGAGGAGGGGACGGGAGGAGGGGAGGACGAGACGAGCGGGAACGGAGCAACATAGGGTGGGTGGGCAGGACAGGAGAGACGGGACGAGCACGGGAGGGACGGCGAGACCAAACGTAAGACGGAGGTGTAGTGTGAGAGTACGACCCCGTTAGACCACTTGGCCTTTTCTTATTTCCTTCCCTTTTCATTTCTCGTTTTACCGCATCTCATTTGGTTTCCTATTTTCCATTTTCCATTATCCTTTGGTCTCTTCCTTTATTATAATTATATCACCGACCAGGCATGGAATGTACTAGAGACGTTATCCAGCGTAATCCTGCCGTAATCCCTTAAAGCCAATAGCCTCACGTGGCTATACGCAGGGTGATTCTATCTTCTAGAAGGGTCTATTCCCTTAGGATAAGATAAACCTGGTTACCTGATGTACTCTGGAAGTATAAAAGCGCCTTGTACCGATCGATAGTGCAACCTTTTCTCGACACATTCGATCCTGTGACACTTGGTAATCAGAGCTTTTCTCACTCGGCCGCGCTCAGCTAAGCAGCAGCAGCGGGGATCCTGCCTCGAAAAACCGCCGGGGGCGACCAATTCGACGCCGATTCTGGTAAGCACCAGCTCCGCGATTTTCGAATTACCCCCTCCGTGCGTGTTTTGAACAGGATGGCAACCTTCGACAACGCCGAGGTTACCCAGCAGCTCTTCGCGCGCATCGCAGCCCTTCAGGAGGAAATGCGAGCGGATCGCGAAGCGTGGCGAAACCAGTTCGAGCGAGTAACTCGACTCGCCGGAGCGCAGCACGAGACGACAACGGCGACGACGCAGCAGTCGCAGCAGTTTCTCGAGGCTTCGAAACCGCGCCCACCTGAGCCGTTCGATCCGAGCGATCGAAACTCCGACGCCCGCAGATGGATCGCCGGGATGGAGATCTACTTCGCAGCCGTCGGATGGAGCTCGCCAGTCTGGGACGGTCAACGTGTACGACTCGCAGCGACACTGATGCGAGGGCCGGCACTCGAGTGGATTGGCGGCAACAGTACTTTCATCCACGGTGAAGCCACGTGGCAGCAGTTCCGCGCCGACCTGCTGAAACGCTTCGAACCGATAAATTCGAGTTTCCTTGCCCGGGAAAAAATTCATCGACACCGACAGTTCGGGAGTGTAGCACAGTACACGCAGCAGATGGAGGAATTTTATAACCGCATTCCCGACCTGACCGAAGGGGAAAAAGTACAATCGTACCTTGCCGGGCTGAAGACCGAAGTCAAACGACAAGTCGCAGCGTCAAACTACGCGAGCTACAGTGACGTCGTTTCGGCAGCGGAGCGCTTCGACATGGTCAACGCCGGAACACGACGGACGCACGTCGGCAGTACGCGATAGGGCGACCGCTCGGCTCACCCCACGTTCGCCGACCCGATGGAAGTCGACAGATTCGAGGGGCGGCCACGTCCGAAAAACACCAACTACACGTGTGATTTTTGCGGGG